CAAATAATTTACTTTGCGGGAGTAAGCCTTCCAGTCCCAAGACGTGTTTCTTTACTTATTAGCCCTCAAAGCATCATACGTCTTCACTGTGCTCTGCGAGGATTCTTTTAGGCTAATCCTTTGCAGAGAGCTCTCGATAATTCTAGGAAAGTTACATGCCTTAGTTGCTGGAATAAATTACTAATTGACTTCAGAACCACCTTAATAGAAATAAGACGACTTTGTTAATGCTTTATCAAAAGCAGCGCTGTTAATTCTGATGAGGCTGAATGTTACTCTCCATGAAGGGGACAAGTGCCAGGGTGGTTGTTGCATTCTACAGACTGTATCCGGTATGAAGAAAATTTTAAACCATTATCCAATTTGATCTGACCAGAGAGGTCTCAAAATTTTATGACAAGGAATTTTCTTGATTAAAAATTTTAAGTACACAAGCATCTTTTAAATCATTTAAATAAAGAAAATTTAAGAGAAAATAGGGATTTTAAGAGATATGTCTGATAGAGTTCCAGTCAAGATGGCAGAATAGACGGTCCCCAGTGTCACTCTCTCACACAAATCAACCAATTTACAACTATAAAAATGTAACAACAGCCAAGTTGGGGCCACTGGAGCCCAGGGGAAGAGGAGGAGAGACCTATAGAGTTCATGAAGGTGGAGAAGCCACAAAAAAAGAAAGAAAAAACTGCTATGAGCATTTTGTGCCACAGCCACTTTAAGGTTGGAGCTGCTGAGCACATGGAGCAGGAGCCAGCAGAAGCCACGGCTGTGCCCTTCAGATGGAGTTGCTTGGAGGTGGCAAGGGAGAAGAGGGCTTGGTGGCCCCCGGGACAGGAAGACCACTAATAAGGTTCCCATGGACCCACCCAGGAGCAAGGAGCCAGAACAGCTGAAAAAGGGGAGCCATTCAGAGGCTGGTGAGTCATCGCAAGGGACTGGGGCAGGGCCCATCCCATGAGAATTGTTTGGAGCACAGGAGGTGGGAGAGACAGGCCCACCAGGAGAACACTGGGACACAGCAAGGAAAGCCAATCCAGCCCCCAATCAGCACAGGACCACTCAGAGGAGACTGATTGGGAATGCAGAATTGCATAGGGTGCAGTTTGATGAAAAGACTCAGGCCCAGATCAGAGTTTCTATACACCCAGGTGTACCTGGTCTCTGGAGAGCTGGAAGTACCTATAAGGTCAACCATTAAACCCTGAGCTGCACAAAAAGTCTTCCCTAGGGAAACAGCAGCAAAGCAGCAATTTAGCTCAACCATACAGCTCAAGTACTGGTTCCCACAGGAAGTTCCCTCGTTTTAGAAGTAAGCAAAGGACAAAAAATTAGTTCCAGCCCAGGCACACCACCAGCACCTCAGGGCACTGCCCGGGGACTCGGAGTATGGAGCTGGGGACCGGACCCCCCTCCCACAACCAGGCACACTGCCAGCACCAAGGAGCATGCCAAAAACA